AACGGAGACTGCCAATGATGCTAGCATATTCTGTTTGTCTTACACTGTCTCCAGTGTTCTTGAATAGCTTTACACTAGCATCATACGGAGTACACGCAGGTTTACAGTCGAAATAGTTATACTTCTTCAAGATCTTCTCTATGTAACTAGATTGATCTAGAGAATAACCATTTGCTGTTCTAGTTATCTGGATTCCAAGCATAAACTTTGCTTCTCCCAGATCTTTCACCTCAAAGCTCTCTTTTAACATGGCTTTCGCTTCATTGACCACGTGAATATTTGTACCAAATATCAACATGTCATCTACATACAAACATATGATAGTGCAAGTGTTATTCTCTGACTTGCAGTAAATACACTTGTCACTTTCATTCACCTTAAAGCCATGTGAGAGAACGAGAGTGTCAAACTTCTCATGCCACTGTTTTGGAGCCTGTTTCAAACCATATAATGATTTGTCCAACTTACAGACTTTCGAGGCATGTTCAGGGATAACAAACCCTTCTGGTTGTTCCATATAGATTTCTTCATCTAGATCACCGTTCAAAAAAGCAGTCTTAACATCCATTTGGTGTACCACGAGATTGTTCAAGGCAGCAAGAGCAATCATGACACGAATGGATGTTATTCTAGATACTGGTGAATAGGTGTCGAAGAAATCTATATTCTCTCTCTGCCTGTAGCCCTTGACTACTAGGCGAGCTCGGAACCTTTCGATTGCACCATCAGGTTTCCGTTTCGTTTTTAGAACCCATTTATTACCTAAGACTTTGCAGCTAGGAGGTAAGTATGTTAGATGCCAAGTCTTATTAGCCTCTAACGATTCCATTTCATCTATAACGGCCTCATTCCAAAAGTCTGCATCTATGGAAGTTAGTGCTTCCTGCAAACTTTTTGGATCCTCTAGGGTGTATACTGTAGTAAAGTCATCACCAAAATCTTTAGAGATTCTAGCTCTTTTACTTCTTCTGAGTTCATCCTCAGATCCAACACCCCCACTAGTTCCGTTATCTATAATAGCGGGTAGTACATTACCCCCACTATTTCTCGTTTTAAATGGAAATCGTGTCTCAAAGAAATCAGCATCAATGGATTCTATTACAGTACGAGCATTCAAATCATAGAATCTATATGCCTTACTATTGGCCGCATAGCCAACGAAGACACATTCATATGCTCGACTAGCCAACTTAACCCTCTTAGGATCAGGAATTCTTACGTAGGCCAAACAGCCCCACGTTCTTAAATAGGACAGATTAGGTGGCTTATTCTTCAAGATCTCATAGGGTGATTCTTTTCTATTTGTTTTTGGAAGACGATTTAGCACATAGCAAACCGTCAACAAAATATCACCCCACCAAGAAGAAGCAGCTCCAGAATTGAGCATAGTAGCCACAACTAATTCTGTAAATGTCCTATTTTTCCGCTCAGCTTTACCATTCATTTCTGGTGAATATGGTGCCGTGGTTTCATGAATGATACCATGTGAGCTATAGAATTCCTTGAAGAGATTAGAGTCATACTCTGATCCTCTATCGCTCCTAAGTCTTTTTATCTTTCGATTGCACTGATTTTCGATTCAACCACAAATACCTTGAACATGTCAAGGGCTTCACTTTTGTTTTTCATCAAATAAACAAAGCAATAATCAGAGCAATCATCTATGAAAGTGATAAAGTATCTCTTGCCAGACCTAGTTAACGTCCCATCTAGTTCACAAATATCAGAATGAATCAGATCTAAGGGTTCTGATTCTCTACTCACAGATTTATGGGGCGTTTTCGTTATTTAAGCTTGGCTACAGAAATCACATTTATCAAATTCATTCATTGAGAGTTTAGGGATATGCCCTAGCTTGCTTAAATTCTTCACAATTCGTGTGTTCACATGACAAAGACGAGCATGCCAAACATTCAAATCACACACCATGTAAACTGAAGAATTCATCTTATTAATTTCGACATTCAACTTGAACATCCTATTACATGCATATCCCTTTCCCACAAAACTCCCATTCTTAGTAAGGGTATACAAGTCTGCCCCAATAGATTGATTAAACCCAGCCTTATTAAGAAGATATCCCGAAACAAGATTCTTCCTTATCTCTGGAGTGTGCAACACATCCTTGAGCACCATCTTCTTCCCAGAGGTGAAGTTCAGCTCCACTTCACCAGAACCAGCAACCATAGTGGTGTGAGTAGTTCCCAACAACACTTTCTTGTCAGCAGGTGCTTCTTCGTATGTTTTAAACATAGCACGATTGTTGCATACATGCTTCGATGCACCTGTATCCAGCCACCACCCTTCTGAGTCACCGGTGAGGTTAACTTCAGCGATCATATCTGTGATCATGGCTACCAAATCCTCTTCTGTCAAGTTAACCCTGGCCGCAGCGGCGGGGTTATGCTTGTTCCTGCACTTTTTTGCCATATGACCCGGTTTTCCGCAGTTAAAGCAGATAAACGGTGGGTCATTCTTAGAGGTTTGGCCATGACCCTTTGGTTACCTCGAGAGGCACCATTCTGGTGGGGGCGGACCTGCTGGTTCTTACCCTTAAACCCTTTCTGGTTAGGTTTAAGAGCTCTAGGGGTGGGTCGTTTAGCAGTGACGACCATCACCTCTTCTTTCATATCCTGCTTGCGGGACTCTTCCTCAATCCTTAGGCGAGTAATCAAACTTTCCAGTGAAAATTCTTTGGTTTTATGTCTAAGCATATTCTTAAAATCTTTCCACGAAGGGGGCAGCTTATCAATAATGCAAGCAACTTGAAATTGATCGTCCAGAGGCATACCTTCGGAGACGATCTCGTGAGCTATTTTCTGAAGTTCGTGGGACTGAACTTCGACAGACTTGTCATCCACCATCTGATAACGCAGGTAGCGGCTGACAGCATACTTCTTAGCTCCAGCCTCCTCCGTGTCGTACTTCTTTTGGAGCGCATCCCAGACCATCATTGCGGTGTTCTTGCTATCCGCATAGTAGTCGTAGAGGTCGTCTGCCAGCCCGTTGAGGATGTAGCCCTTGCATAGGAAGTCATGCTCCCTTTCCTTAGCAGCAGCAGTCCTCTCCTCATCGGTCGCTTCTTCCGGCAGCTCGACGGGCATGCTGGTGAGGCAGTGTGCCAACTTCTTGGTCGTCAGGTAGAACTCCATCTTTTGTCTCCAGCGACGGAAGTTGACTCCAACGAAGCGAAACGGTCGATTGATATCGACAGCACCAGATCCGGCCATGTTGTTCTGTTCAGTCGACATAGCAGCAGCCGTACGTCTTAAAATTGTTAAAAACGGAACAACAACAAGATGAGGATACCGAATCTGGAGCTGAGTCGCGGACTAGGTCGCTTTCTTTAAGACGTTCGCGGCACTGCCCTCGATGCGCACGGCAGACTATCAACTGGTCGTCTCCAGGATAAAATAGCTCCTCTGGGTACTCGCGGTTTTGTGCGAAAACCGGAGCTCTCTGAACACTCTCTCTATTGTGTTTATGCTCGTTGTAGTGTGTTTAGAGGGGCTGGGGAGGCGGCTATTTATAGGAGCCGAACCCCTAGGAATATACCCTCTAACTTGGGGAATAAGTCGGATTAATGAAGGAAGATAATTACTTCCTTAATTAAAACCGTCGGTTAGGATAAATCCTGCTGGGATTATCCTTCGAATATTCCTTTTCAATCGATTATCCCTTAGAATATTCCTCAGAATAACCGATTAATAATTAATTTCGTTCGGAATTTCTCTAAAAAATATGTATATAGTCTCAAGTGATCCAACCGACCGACCGACCGGCCGGTCGGACGGACGGACGGCGCGCGTGTGTGGTGGTCCGTTAGGTCCTCCCTCTCCCACAAAAGTGGGTCACCCCAAGGGGCATGCCCTTAGGAGAGAGGCTCCTATCTTTATAATCACTTCACCAAGTAAAACTACCAATGTGGTAGTTTTTCCACTTGAGACTCTATAGCTTTTAAAGCTATTCATACACATTTCCAACAGTTTCTGTGGAAAGAGAGATGTACTCATAAATACAACAATAAGAAGTTGGATGAGGAAGAGACCATACCGAGGGCTCTTGGGTGGCTGTCCTCTTTCCTGAAAACTCAATCTTCCCCGGCTTCGACTCCATTTGCATGTCCTCCCAGAAGAAGTGATCTGTAGGCTGGCCATTGGATTCCTCCTCATGAGGGTGTCTACAAACTGAACTCAGACATGGGAGTGCTCCAGCAGCAAAGAATTGGTTTGGGCTCCCTTATTCGTAACTGAAGAGTAGAATTTGTGGGGGCGATGGTTAAGAGAGAAAAGGGGATCTGCAGTCCAATTGAAGCAGAAGCCAAGGCGATGATGATGGGACTACGTGAAGAAAATCAAAGGTCTCACAACCCGCTGATCGTCGAATCCGATTGCCAGTTTCTGGTGAATTTGATGAAGAGTGGCAAGACTGATTTCACAGATTTGGGGGTTTGGTGCGATGAACTCAATAAATTGGCAAGGGCGAACGAGACTTTGTCGGATAGGAAGGTCAAATGGGTGTTTTCACCTAGGAAGACAAACTTTTTGGGCCACTGGTTAGCTCACTCCGGGTCTGGATGGAACCAACAGATGGTTTGGGTTGATAACCCTCTTCTCACGCTCCCTTGTATGCTTGAGGCCGATTTGGGTCGCTGTCCTCTGGGGCAGGACGGATCCTTTTTTAATAAAATTTCCTAGATTTCCTATACAAAAGGGGTCTGATATCAAGGAAACTACTGGAGATCTGCGTCACTGCTAAAATACACTACGACATATCTAAATTCTCTAGTATCTAATTAAATTAATTTTATGAACACTATTAGATCTTTTTTGTTATACTTTTTTAAGACATAATTTTTGTACCTCAGACCAATGATTTTTTTTTCCTTTTACTTTTAACCCAACTACGACAACATTCAACCCACAAGTGAAAAAAATTTAAATCAAAATCCAAAACTGAAAAAGGGACCATACCAAAAAAACAAAGGGCAAAAATATGGAGTTCAACAGAAACACACAGCCTGGGGGGTGGCTGGTGGGGGGCTAGGTTAGGAGAGACAGAAGGAGAGAGAGAGAAAAAAAAGTTTTCTCGATGAACAAAGAGAAATCGAGAAACTAAGAAATAAATAAAAAAAAAGCCAGTAATTGAACAGTTGGAGGAACGAGGAAGAAGAACAAACAAGGGGAACAATTTTGTAAGGGGAGAAGAGGGGATCATTTCGTTATTATCAAGCGAGATGATTAAAATGTCAGATTTCTAAATTTTCATAGGGACATCCCTAAATTCTATCCATCTCCTCTAGCCCCCGACAAGCCTCACCTCCCGTATCAAATTTTTTCTCTTCTAAGGAAACATTTTAATTTATTTTCTCAGCTGGAGAATATCAAACAAAAACACCCATTTTCACACATTCTTCTATCACGGTAAAATGATCATCCTTGTACCTCATTTTATGTTTTCTTGTGGGTTTTAGAGGAAAGGTTGTCTAAGATGATTTAATCTAAGTGATGGTGATGATGATGACTATATTTCAAAAACCCAGGCTTGGAATTTGCTTCTGAAATATAGGTTTTTGTCGATTCATGTTCTTCTTTCCTTGAGAACTCTTCTTCAGTTCCTCCTGGGTTTTGGCATTGTGTGTTGGAAGATTCTGGTGGGCAAAAGAAAATCGTGATAAAATAATAATAAACCCTGGCGATTTGCTGGTGAAAAACCGTTGCTTACCTCCACTGCTAGCACCAATGGAGGGGCGGTGGAACCCAATTGGAACCCAATTTTGGTGCTTTTTGGTGTTCATTGTTGGGGTCAAAATTCATGGGTCTTGGTCACTTAACGATGAAGGTAAGAATCATTGATTTACTTAATATTTCATCCTACAAAACTTGGCTTGATGTTAATGTTCTTTGATAACATATATTATAGGATTAGTTTTGTTCAAATTTCGAGCAAGGGTGAGGTCTGATCCTTATGGTGCTTTGGCTAATTGGAATCTCAAAGATGGTGATCCTTGCATGTGGTCTGGAGTTCATTGTGTTGCTGGTAAAGTTCATATATTGTAAGTTTTCTTACTTTGACCCTTTGTTTTTGCTTTTCTTTATATTTTACAATTAAGAAGTAAGCTTTTAGTGTATACAGAATAGAATGGAACTCTTCCAAAGTATTGATGTTTTGGATTTCTTCTAATTCTGCTAGGAATTTGAGTGGATGCTCTTTGAAAGGGACATTGGCTCCCGAACTTGGAAAACTTGTCCACTTGAGATCATTGTAAGTGACCTTATTTTTTGTTTCTAATCAACATACTTACACATACGGTCTACAAATTAACATGAGGGTGATTTTATTATTGTGTATCTGAATACTGTATTTTGTAAAAACATGTGTTATATAACATATATGATGTGACAACTGAATCGTTTCTTATTTTTTGATAGAGTGTTGCGAAACAATTGCTTTTTTGGTATCCTGCCGAGAGAGATAGGAAATCTTAAGAAGCTTGAGATACTCGATTTGAGAGATAATTACTTTAGCGGGGCAGTTCCAGCTGAAATTGGGAGATCACAAACCCTAAAGTGCTTGTGAGTTCTTTGGTTCACGTATTTTCAATCGGTGAAGGCTATATGACATCTCTTTTACATATACAAGTGCTAAAAATATTGGTCACTAAATTTTTTTAATATAGGTCAGTGAGCGGTAATAAGTTTCGAGGTACTATTCCAGGGGAAATGCGGAGATTGAAACTATTGTCACATTTGGAATTGGACGAGAGCCTTACATCTACTTCAGCCGCTGGATTCAAATACGTAGATTGCAAGTTTGAAGATGAGTAAGGAACCTTTACCAAATATATGCTTGTTGGTGTTGGTGTAATCATGAGTTGTGGTTTTTGCATGATTGATTTATATTTTTTCCCGTTTCACCTAGTTTTAACAGAATTGTCCATTTTATGACAAAACAAACCATTAAATTCATAGTTTCCAATTTATCAATTACCACATATGGTTATATTAAATTTTGGTAACTTATGTTTGGTTATTTCTCTTTGTAGTGTCTTTATTATTGTCTATATATAACTCTAACTGGTATGCATTTTAAATTGGTACAGTACATGGATGGTAAGGTTGAGACAACTGCAGAGGGCTTATTCACATATATTACCGCCATTTATGAAATCTCTTAGAGAATACATCCATAGCTTAGTATTCCAAATGTGAGTACGTAGTTTTCAAAAGAAAAAAAATGTATGTTTAATCAATTGAAGCTAAATAGCTAAAAACAGATGAGATTCTTCGGAATGACATTCATTACAGTTTTGATGTTAGGGTTCATTATGTTCAACCTGTAAAAGGAGGTTGTTGTTGTTGTAGTAATACCCCCGGTGAGTAGCTCCTCATCCAACTTTTTGTTCATTCCATCAAACACTTTTTTTTAGAGAAGTATATATATATATATATAACTATGTATATATATAGTTCTCCCTTCTTGCATACATGCAGAAAGTGCAATGTCTGACGTCCCTCACTTGATCCAAAATGTAGAGATTCTCTTCAACTTTGCGCGACGACGTAGACTCCAAGAACAACAACCTAGCAACCTGGTCGCTGCCGAACCGACCAGCAATAATGGACCAAACTTTAACGACATGATCATCGTTCCAATCACAAGAGGTAGCGGAAGTTTCCCTGCTGTACCAAACTCGAAGTCGCCGCCGTCACCTACTGCATCATCGGACCACGATGGAAATGCACCGAGTGATTCTCCAAAGGGACCAATCATCCAAGACCATGTACCGCCGTCGTTTTGGGACACTTGGATTTATTTCCTCTTCGCTCTAATGGCGGCCATCTTGTTGGCTTCAATCTTTGTCATGATATTCTTGTGTCGTCGACGAGGAGTGAGACCCATTGGTCCTTGGACTTCTGGAATCAGTGGCCAGCTTCAGAAAGCATTGGTTACGGGGGTTCCCAAGTTGAATAGATCAGAACTAGAAACTGCTTGCGAAGATTTTAGCAATATAATAAACTCGTATGACGGTTATATCGTGTACAAGGGGACGTTGTCCACCGGAGTTGAGATTGCAGTGGCATCAACTACAACGACTTATCGCAAGTTGTGGTCTAGGAATGCAGAGAAGGCATACCGTAGAAAGGTATGAAAGTATCTGTTTGTAAAACCTCTCAAAACAACTCAAGTTATTGGAATCAATTGATTCTTGATATGGTATTAGAGTTGTTTTGATAGTAAAACCTCTTTGGAGAGTACAACCTCTCTCGGGGATTAGTTCTGATCTTCAGGGATACCAATTTAAATCCGTTGTGTTCTATTGGTTTAGCTCATACTAAATGACAGTATCTAGCTAGCTGGCATGCTAATTACAATTATATTCAGTGCTATACTACTTATCTTCATTTGGACTTGATGAATTTCAGATTGACACACTATCGAAAGTGAACCACAAGAACTTTACAAATCTCATTGGCTTCTGCGAGGAGGATGAACCTTTCAATCGGATGATGGTGTTTGAATATGCCCCAAATGGAACACTATTTGAACATATACATAGTAAATATTAACTAATTGTTACCTTCTTTTAGATGTGCTAATGTGTTTTCTGAGATGGGTTTAGGGTTTGGAGATTGAAGTAGTATTTTTATCTTATGGGCGCATGCAGTTAAAGAAATGGAGCATCTTGATTGGACGTCAAGGATGAGAATTATCATGGGAGTGGCTTATTGCCTAAAACATATGCATGATTTGAAGCCACCTGTGTCTCATACCAACTTGACTTCCAATTCAATCTTTTTAACTGATGATTATGCAGCTAAGGTATCAACTTCGTTTTTTTATCCATAGTCCATGGGTTGGAGCACATTCCTTTTTTTTTTTCTGATTCACCATCTATTTGGGACATATATGCATGATTTTTTCTTGCAGATTACAGAAATTCCTTTCTTGTCACAAGCTGCATCAAAACCCAAACCCTCAAGTGAAGACGAAGGGGAAAATTCAGAATTACCACCGACTGTTGATCCAGAAACAAATGTGTACAGTTTTGGCATTATATTGCTGGAAGTAATATCAGGAAAGCTTCCTTACTCGGAGAAAGAAGGCCCTATAGAGAAATGGGTACACAAGCTTTAGCTCACATGACAACCCTCTACCAATTTTAAGACATTAATTAGCATGTATGTTTCTCTTAAGTTACATATTCCCTTTTTTCCCGTTTCTAACATTATACAGGCCAAGCAATATTTAAGTGACAAGAGTAGAATCACTCATATGGTGGATCCATCCCTCAAGGCCTTCAAAACTAAGCAATTAGAAGTAATATGTGAAGTTGTTCAAGAGTGCATAGTTACAGATCCACGACAGAGACCGAGCATGAGCGATATCGTTCCTCGTTTGAGAGAAGGCATTACTATATCACAAGATCAGGCTGCACCAAGGTTGTCCCCTCTATGGTGGGCTGAACTGGAGATTCTATCGCAGGAAGCAAATTGAAGCTCTGGAGAATTGGTGTCCTCTTGATCAGTAATGTGACTTCATCATCAATGTGTTCTTGTGATTCCCCAATGAAAAGTACAGTCTCTTGTAGGAAATTTCTAAAGGTTCAGCGGATAGAAATTCAAACATCATGGTAATTCTCCTTAACTTCCCAGCTGACAGCTCTATTAGGCGGCCATTGACATATTGAAATCACCACTTGCACATTTAGACGATTGGTTCATTAATCACTTGTTAAGGATGAAGCAAGCATGGAGTCGAGCAAAATTAAGATATCAAACTTTGTATAGAATATTCCTCCTCTGTGTCCATAAGAGCACGTGATATATGAAGAGAAAAAGAATGTTCGGAAGAAAAAAAAAACAATGATTATATGTAACAAGGTGATTGTACATTCCATGGTGTAAAATTGAGTGATTAATTAATTCGATCAGATTATTGTTTGTTTTTCTGTGATAATGAACATATTTGCTTAGTTTGTATAACAATCACATACGAACATATCTTTCTGAATTTAGTTGTTTGCACGTGGAATTGGGATATTGCTCTTACACTAAAACCTAATATTTACTTGAAAATAGTTACAATCATACCAAACATGTAATAGATAGGATTTGAGGGACTTAAATAGAAATTGTGTACAAAAGGAGAAATTAGTGTGTGCCAGTTGGTAAGTGGGGACCGACCTACTTAAGAGAATCGTTGTATTCAGTTAGAAGTCAATTAATGAAATAACAGAGAATTTATCTTCCCCTTCTCTCTCTATCTCTCTCCCTCTCCCTTCCCCTCTCTTTCTCTAACTCGGGTTAATTCCGAGAATATTGTTTTTTTTTTCAATTTACCACCAAAATATCGGTTTACAAACTATTGAAACAAATATTATGTTTTGAAGCCGAGAAAAGGCAAGTCCGCGCGAGCAGAGAAAATCGACCCAGCCTTCACGAAACCGCCCCATGGATAAGCTTATCCTTTCTCCGCGAATCTGCGTAGGCTCATGCAGGTCCTCCCTACTACTTTTAAGTTTTAACCTGTCGTCCTCCCCTCTCCCCACTCACCCCCACACGAGAGAACCAACCTCCCCACAACCAGAAACCAATCCCACCATTAGATATCGAATCTCTCCTCCCTCCTTCAGTACGCGCGTACTCGCCTACCCTTCGTCCTCGTCTAGCGATCCAGCCACAGCCTTCTTCCTCCCTCCTTCAGCTAACGCGGACCCGCGTGACCCTTCCTCCTCCTACCCTCAACTCACGCGGATCACCTCTTATTCTTCCTAACTTCTCTTTCCTCGCGCGGAGACGCCACAGCACCAGATCTAGTTTTTTCGTCGGCAGCGGAAGGAGGATGTCTGACTCCGACCATTCCGGCGAAGAGGAAGCGGTCGCCGGAAGAATAAGGGGTCGAGGGAGTGGGTTGCGAGCTCGCGGTGGTGGCAGAGGCCGGTACTGAGGTAAGGATTCTGATATGATCCCAAATTTCCCACCATTCACGTCATAATTACTTGACAAAGAAGCTATCGAAGTTGGGAAGAAGAAGGGCAGAATTTGGCTGAGTCAAAATCCGTGTTCAGGGTACATAATTTGGAGGCATGGTTCTCTCAATTGGCTTGGTGGAAATTCAATTTTAAGGGTATGTTTTGCAGATAAAGTTACCATCTTTCCAATGGTATGCTTTGTGGATCTAGATGATGTCATTAAGGTTGTTCTCCAAGGCCTCAAAGTTGCTATCTCAAAACTGGAAAACTGCCAGAAAATGGCCAAGGCAGAAAACTGTTTTGTGAAGCCTACTTTGGAGCTCAATTCCAGGAGCATGGATGAGATTCATGTCAAAGGTTTTCCACAACGTGAAACTAGGTATGTTTGTGAACAAAGGGAAGGAATTGGATGAAAAATTGGAGTTCGGGAAGGCCTCGAGCAAAAGGCGCGAAGTTAGTATGAAAGATGCCTTTTACTGTTTTGCGGGCAGCTTACTTTTGCTTCAAGAAAGGAAGTTGTGTCCGAATTTTGTAACCTTTTTAGAGTATAATTTTACCTTATTTGTTTCCTTGTTCATATATGTTTGTATTAGGTTTTCTTGGCTATAAATAGCCTTCTATTTACGTTGTAAAAACTTAGACTTTGTTGAATAGAAAAGAAACCGTTTGGTTTGTGCAAGTTGCGACTTGTTTTGGGTTTGGTGGATTCCAAACTTGCTGAGCTTGTGTATCGATTGAATAGTCACTTCAATCGTGGTCGAGAGCAACTACTCTTTTATACCAATCGAGCTATCCTTAGGTGTGGATTTGTCCTTTTGGTTCCGTTTATCCAAGTTCGTATTAAGAACGCTTCGTTCTTGATTCGAGATCAATCGATTCTCGATTGAGTCGTTAGCTGCGTGACTTTGATAATATACACCCCCAGGGTCGTATTAAGTGGTATCAAAGCCCCGTTCTACACAAGGGCAAAGAAGAAGAACCTGTTGTTTCGTACAGAAGAATTCGTCGCAAAACAGATGAGATTTTTATTCGAAGAAGAGCCGATTCGAAGAAGTGACGATGGGAACTCTTCAAATTGACTTGGAGGAATTGAAGAACATGCTAACAGACGCATTTAACGCTACCTTCCAGCCAAAATTCGATCGAGTTTCTCGTCGAATGTGTAGAAATAGCTCAAGGAGCTTAGGGTTTTGTGTGTAGAAGAAGAAAGGCGGTACAGAATTGGGAAAACCCGCAAGGAGAGAGGTCTCTCCATCATTTCATATATATATCTGTTCAAAGTAGAGTGAACAATACACTATAGTAAAACTGGAAATGGAACTTTAAAAACAAAACTGAAATACGAAAATGAGCTGTAAACAATGGCCACATGTCTTCTCATCATTGGCTCTCTTTGGCTCCACCTAACGGTTGACTTCAAGCTCCACGACGCCGTTTTGCTCTCCGCTTTAGTCAGGTGGAAGGGAAGGCAGAAACGTTTCGTTTCTGCCTTGGTTTCTTCTTCAATCATTCTGTTCTTCTTCTTCTCCACACGAGCAGAGCACCCTGCTTGACTGCAGGCCTTCATTCTTCAGTTTCCAAGTCTGATACTCCCCCACAAGCTGGCGAGTAAGCATTGAATACTCCCAGCTTGTCCAATAAGAATTTCAGATGATATCGTGTGACTCCCTTAGTAAAAATGTCAGCAACCTGATCATCTGTTCTGATATGACTCAGCTTAACTATTCCAGACTTCAGCCTCTCTCTTGTGACATGACAGTCGATTTCTATATGTTTGGTTCGCTCATGAAACACTGGGTTCTCAGCGATGTGTAAAGCAGATCTATTGTCACAAAAGAGATTGATTGGAAGAGGTACCTGTACTCCCATTTCTAACAATAAGTTTCTGAGCCATTGCACCTCACAGACCACTTGTGCCAAGGCCCTGTACTCTGCTTCAGAAGATGACCTTGAGACTGTAGTTTGTTTCTTGGTCTTCCAAGTGATCAATGAAGTGCCCAGAAAAGTGCAATATCCTGTTAAGGATCTTCTAGAATCAGGGCAACTTGCCCAATCTGCATCACAGTAACCTTGCAACTCAAGTTTTGAGTCAGCCCTGAACAATAAGCCTTGTCCAGGTGTTTGCTTCAAGTATCTGATAACCCTGTGTGCAGCCTGAAGATGTTCAACACAGGGATTTTGCCTGGAACTGTGCTAGTTGCTGAACTGCATAAGTTATGTCTGGCCTGGTAATGGTGAGATAGTGCAATCTGCCTATTAGTCTTCTGTAGACAGTGGCATCTAGCAATGATTCCCCTTGAGCAGCTGATAGTTTGACATTACAGTCCACAGGTGAGAGACAACCTTTAGCTTCCAAATATCCTGTGTCAGACACCAATTCAAGACAGTACTTCTTCTGGCTCAAGGAGATCCCTTTGTGATCCCTCAACACTTCCAGTCCCAGGAAATAACTCATCTGACCAAGGTCCTTAACCTTGAATTCTTTGCTCAGGAAAAGCTTCAACTGTTCTATGTCTCCCAAATAGCTTCCTGCAATTAGTATATCATCAACATATACTAATACAATAACCACTCTTCCTTGAATCCATCTCACAAACATAGAATAATCTGAGGCAGTTTGTGAGTAGCCATTTTTCATCAATGCATTGGTTAGCTTAGCAAACCACTGCCTACTAGCCTGCTTGAGGCCATACAAAGCTTCTTAAGTCTATAAACCAGACCTTGATCTCTAGGAACATTAGCTCCAGGGGGAATTTCCAGATATACTTCTTCCTCCAAATCTCCATGTAAGAAGGCATTTGATACATCCATCTGATGTATATGTCATTCCTTGGAAGCAGCAACTGCTAAAAGTGTTTTAACTGAATTGATTTTGGCCACAGGAGAGTAAGTGTCCAGGAAATCAATCCCATAAATCTGAGTGTAACCCTTGGCTACAACTCTAGATTTAAACCTTTCAATAGTTCCATCTGACTTATGTTTGATTTTGAATACCCATTTTGATCCTACTGCTTTCTTTCCCTTTGGTAACTTTACCACTTCCCAAGTCTGGTTTTCTTCCAGAGCTGCCAGTTCCTCATTACATGCTTGATTCCATCTGGGATCTTTGCAAGCTTCTGCATATGAGGTAGGTTCCTCATTTAACATTACACTCATGGCAAAAGCCCTCTGGGAAGGGGACAATTGCTCATAAGAGAAGTGCTGCCAGACATGATGCTTGGAACATGATGCTACAATGTTGAAGTGATAATCCTTGTGCCAGGCAGGCACAGTCTTGTTCCTTGTGGACTTGCGAATAAATGCAGCATCATCAGTGTCATTGGGATCAGGGAACACTTCAATCTCAGCATCCTCCCCCCCAGAATGCAAACCAACCACATCAGAAAACAAAGAAGGTGAAGAAGGGTCCTCAGAAGAGGAAGTAGGAGGAGAAGTTGAGGATATGGGGATGGTGGCATTCTGAGTAGAAGAAGAAGGGAGAGGTGAGGAACTGGAAGGACCAGAAGAAGGAATGTGACTGGGAGTATGTGGAATAGGTGGAAGAGTAGGGATAATGGGGTCTGGAATGGATGAAGAAGGCTGAGAATTAGGTGTGGAAAAGGGGAAAATGGTCTCATAAAAGGTGACATCACGTGAGACAAGGAAAGAATGGGAATTGATGTCATAAAGTTTGAAACCCTTGGTGCCTGATGGAAAACCAAGAAAGATACACTGCCTAGCCCTGCTGTCAAATTTGGTCCTGTCTCTATGAAGTGTGGCAGCATAGCAGAGACAGCCAAAAACTTTCAAATTAGCTAGGCTAGGGGGTTTGTTGTATAAGCATTCATAGGGGGACTTGTTGTTAAGAACTGAAGAGGGAATCCGATTAATGAGAAACACAGCATGGAGGATGCAATCACTCCAAAACTGTAAGGGCACCCCTGACTGAAATCTGAGTGATCTTGCAACGTTGAGAATGTGTTGATGCTTGCGCTCAACTCTGGCATTTTGCTCAGGAGTTTCAACACATGACAACTGAT